ATGGGAGGGAAGCGCAGAAGAGAACATCGCGAAATATAAGGCAACTATCGGCGTTTAGGACTTGTATTATACATATGTAAAATCCTCCATGCATCTACCGTTGCCCTCAAGGGCTTTGTATTTCGTGCGGGCTCAGTATCGGCCGACTTCCGAAATGAAGATGGGACACACTCGGATGATGGATTGGTGCATGCGAAAAAGTCGAAAAAAAAGACTAAACGGCGGGACGTCGTTGGATAGCCCGTCCGCCGATGGTGTCGCGTCGGCGTCAGGTATGACTCTGAGGTCCGGACCACCGGATGCTCTTTCGTTGATTTCGAGTTTCGAGTTTATATTTATAGAGCTCTTCTTCATAGGGATCCCTCAGTACGCACGAAACAGGACGTCGACGTCCGACTTGGTCACACCTTTGATTTTTTGCGAAGACATGACCCCACCCTGCGGATGAACTTGTCGTTTGCTTCAATAATATCGTGTACATATGTCAAATCACGCTTCACGTCGTTCGATCTTATTATATCCTTCGAACCACCTTTTTCTAATCTTGTTTGTTTTCTATTGTGCATAGACAAAGCCACAGTACGTCGACGAGAACTTCCGTTTGTCCGACAGCTGATAGCAGTAATTTTCGACCTATCTCACTCGAGAGTACAAGGAACAGGGACAACCTTTAAAGTTTCTGCAGAAGTGCTACTTGGAACTGCCGACTTCTTTAATAATGGCATCTGATTTTTTTGGCTACTAAGCACTGGATCCAAAATTAATTGATCGAAAACATTGACAGGAGGTATGTGGTGTTAAAATTTGTGACAGAGAATTGACCGTACATCCTTAGGGGCCACGTCTTGTTGCGTTTTACTCCTACCACCATGCACCCCACATACACCCCCCAAAATCCAAAGCCGTCACAATACGAGCTCACCGCTATGCTTGGGGTTCTTGACATCCTCCAAAACGATCCTACTCTCGACTTTGGCCCAGACTATTCTCAGTCCAACCTCCAGTACATTCCTTACATCGGCTTTGGACCGACACTCAACGAAGATAAATGGCTTCGTACGCTCGATACCATCGCCAGCTGTCTCTCTACTGGTAATCTAGGAGAACAATATGCCGTATCTGTGAAGACGAACCAACGAGTCTCCTTCCTCATCGCGAAAACTGGGAAGATTACCGCCGCAGACGACAGGGCCGTTCAAGACTTCACCTTCCTCGTTACGAATCACATCAGTCGGGAAAAAACTTCTGCAGTATACGTGAAAGACTATATCTTTCCCTTTCTTATTCGTCGGTGTCGGAGGGCCATGAGCTACAACATCGGGCACTTGCTAAGTTCGATACTTTCTTATAACTGGGATATGGCATTACGAAGATTTTCTTGGGAGAGAGGGATTAGGCATTGGACTATGGAGGACTTTTTCCCCGGGTCCGAAGAGTATAGAAGGAGAATGAGGAAGAGAGGAAGGACAGTTTCGGTCAAGGAAATGGTGTTTATGCTGGTGGAGGATATCATTGACGTTTGCCGATCCCCGGACTTGGAATTTGGATCGAGAGACGAAGAGGACGTAGATCGGCAGACGGCAGAGTGGCAAGTAGGTCAGGCAGCCAACGCGAAGGACGCACATCGAATCCAGGTCTTTCATAACCTCGCGCACTACTGCAAAGTTCTTCGAAACTCGAGATTTATGGGGTTCCTGACATCAGACGATTCGATATTCTTAGACCCAAGAATGCGCGTAGAGGCGATCAGATTGCAGCGTAGGTTGAAGAAGATTTGTCAGTACGTGTATGGTGTGCGAAAGCTGGTCAACAATGCGAGAAGGTTCTCCTCAAGGGGTACTGTGTTGTACGAGTGGATCGGGGAGGTCGAAGATGATCGTACATTGAAGACGAAGGTATCAGAACTCGGGTCGGGATTATCGGCATCTTCAATACACAGTCTTATTGATCGTGCACTCGAACAAGAACGGCACTCTCCTATCCAAACCTCCCGTATCCTTACTAGATATCCCTTGCTCTCCGATCCTTCTTCGTACACTCCTACCCCTCAAATCCACCCAGAACTAAAAATCCTCTTGCATTTCGTCCTGAACGGCTTCTCCGAATTCACAGATCCCTACGTATCGATCCCCATCGGCACAGACGAGCCTGTCTGTTGGTGCTGTGCGGAATGGATCAATACGTGGATGAGATCCCACAACGGACAATTGAGTTTCGTCCTCAACCATCTGGAAAGCAAGTTGTCGAAGGACTGGGCTGCTCCTATGAGCTACGGTGATAAAGACATCGATAACATAAACTGGACCGTCGGAAGGAGGGTCGAGAAAAGATTTTCCGCGATGATCAAGAACGCCTCCAAGGTATCCTCGTCATTCGATGTTCGAACAACCAGTTGGGACGTTCCGGAGAGCTATATCGATCCCCGTCTTACTTGTCCCAGTAGCCCACGATCTTGTCCTAGACCCGTGTCGCTTTCCAATTTCCATTTCGAAATGGACTCTATATCTTCCACTCCCGAAATCAGACTCAACGGAATCCCTGTCAAAGGTGATTACATGGCCTGTCCCGAGTCGTTTATTCGGTCGGATGTCGGTCGGGACGATGACTACTTGGAGTTCGACGAAGTTCCGATGGAAGTAGAGGATGAGGATCCCTTTTTTCAAGGCGTTGTTCAGATGAAAGGGATTTTGCAGGTCATTGATGATGGTTCAGGGAAGGAAACGAAAGTGAATGATTTTGGGTCTCGGGTTACTTACCTCTGTATGTCGAGTTGAATGAAGTATCGGTGGATATATGTACTACTTCCAGTTGATTTTTCTGTTTGTTTTTTTTTAGTCAATTGTACTTCTTTTTCTTTTTCGGGCGATTAGAATCAGAGTTCAAGCTTAAACGCGCCGTTATATACCTCACACCATCCGTGTGGTCTCAGGAAGCTGTTCTGAACCAAGCGACCCACGTGTTAGGTGACTTAGGTCGAGCGATACTATCCTGTTCTGCAACGCACCTCGCTGTTTCAAGCAGTACTCAATCTTGATCAATGTCCAGTAAGTCGTCCTTTCTTGTAGTGCCAAACATGCTGACGCAACTGTAGAGAACTCGTACATTTCCACGTGGACGGACCGCCATGGTCAGCTCGGAGATGTAGACATGGATGATTCAAAGACAGAGAGAGGTTCATCTGGGTCAGAGTACATGCATGAGAGCATGACACATATTCCGATCCAGAGAGACCGCCAACTGACATGACGAATAGGCTCCCTGACACCGCAATTGGGCCTGGTGACTCGGCCTCTCAGTTGTCCGATTCGGATAGTCTGTCATCTGTGTAAGTTTTTCTTTTGTCTATTGACGGATTCATGCTAAGAAACCTGCAGCTGCAACCGGCTCGCTGAGCGTACTGACTTGTTCGAGGGCTATCTCAGACATATTCCTTGCCTATTTGATCTAGGGTTCGCTCGAGTAAGGACGGACGAAATTCATGAGGAACGGGTGATTAACAAATTCATGAGACCATTGGACCCAAAAAAGCTCGATATCACCTTATCATGGGATACGACGTGGTTTGTCGAGGTGCGTATTTGTGCCAGTCCCTGAAATTTCCCAGCTCTGTTAATTTTCCATGTAGGAGTTGGAAAAGTCTCTCGTCCCCGTCCTTGAACCATTGCTTGGTGGTCTGACTGAAGAATACCGTGAAACCATAGCCGAACGACTATACACAACGTTATGTCTCCATCAGACTCGCAATGAGGAACTCGACCGACAACTGCAGCTTGCAGTCCTAGCTTCGAATATTCTGTGGCATATTCCCGTTCAAGATCTCGACAATCTTGACACCCGATCACGATACGCAACCCTGGGCATAACTTTTTATGGGCATGTCAAAGCAAAGCTGCAAAACCCCCTTTACCCCTTTGCAGGTCAAACACCTTCCCCAAAGTTCCAATTCTTTCTAGTGAGTGCTAAGTACCAAAAAATTCAAGACTGGCACGAGGGAATTTCGGAAGACCGCTTCCGGACGCCTCTAGATGCGTTGGTAGATTTGGTATGGGAAGCAGAAATATTTCAAATGAAGTATGTGAATTCTCCGCTCTCAGCATGCATTTGCTGAAAATTCAACTAGTGTGACCGGTCACTATGATCGTTACACCAGAACGGTTCCATCAAAGGCATTGACGGGCCCGGGATGTTACTGTAAGGCTCACATATACCTTGTTCAGGTAGTGAAACACGGCCTCACCGGACTCACTGCCGACAAATGCGAGCTCCTCCTGTGGGGAAAAGAAAGCTTAATGGAGGTGGCCTGCCTAGCAGGAGAGTTCAACCCAGAAAAGTTTCGTGCGACAGTGAACCAGGTCGTCACAGACATTATCTCTGGTGCAACTATCAACGAGTTGCTTGGTATTCCGTACCCCGTATTTGGGGTAGCTGTAACCCGTCTGCAAAGTGCTGTATTTGTCTGTCGGGCTCAAGCTGCAAGTCTTGTTTCTCTGCTTGCGCCGCATTTGGCTAACTCTTCTATAGGACTCCAATGGCCAGATGACATACGCAGTGCGAAAGCTATCCGAATGGGGACCTCTCACTGAATTCCAGAATTTTCTGCAGTACGTTTCTTTCCTGTTTGCCCACAAACATTGGTACAAAGAGAAAGTTGTTGCCTACATCAAGACTCAGTCTGGTAAGGATCCGGAGTGGGTTATCAAAGCTCTTGGGAGGAGGCACTTTAAGCCATGGACGGAAGCTAAAGGTAGAGGAGAATGAGAACGGGAAAGAGTCGGACATTGGCATGATGCCCCCAGTAATGCCGTTTGTTTCAGTATAGTGAGTAGTAGAAAACGTAACTTCCTGTGATAATATAGCTACAATTACATGGAAGACTATAATGGAAGAGGAACGTCTGTGCGCAGACAAAATGATGTTATTGTCATTCTCAGTACTTCCTAGCAAAGTATAAGCTTAAAAGGTCAGTCCCTTGAGACCAATACTGTTGTCCACATTGTACCGCCCGCCTAGCTCAATCGGATAGAGCGTCAGACTTTTAAGGCGAGGTGTCTTGAGGAATCTGAAGGCTGCGAGTTCGACCCTCGCGGTGGGCTACTAGTCTTATTTATTTTGCTTCAAGTTCACTGTTGTCACGTTCTAAGACATAGCACGATCCTGACATGTTCAGCGCACAGAATAGACGAGGGCTCAAGCCTCAAGGCAGTTCGTGAATCTTAAGAACACAAAATTGAACCTCTTCGGATTCTCGATCTTGTTTATTGCTGCTATCCCGGGCCCACAAGTGGGGCATCGTACCTCCTTTTGTTAGGAGTCGAGTGTCTTCAATATTAATTAGAGTCGGGCCCCGAGGAGACATAGACATCCATGTAAGTAGTGCAATATGCAAGGGTATCGATTGAAATAGTTCATACGCAAGTTTAAATTTTTGGGAGTTTTCTTCGACACCCCGATTTGAGACTCTGATCGGTGGTAGAAACGACGCTATACTTCGCGGTTAATTGGAAGTAGAAACCCCCATGACTGCATGGTACTCTCTGATGAGCGGCCCGTGAATTTCTTTGAATTTCTGCACGAGCATCCGGAGAAAGGTCAGCGGGCCGCGCGCAAGTAGGGTCCAAAATAGGTGGCCAGCATTCGAAAATATTACTTACCGCTTCTCTGCAGACACAACTGTCGTTAGATTCTTCCGACCTAGTAAAGAATTTAGGATCCAAAATCATCGGGGGAATGTGTCGAGTAGAAGGGAACGCGAATCATGTTCGATGGTCATCACCTACTACTTCCATTTCAAAGTGATCAGAAAGGGTCAATTTAGGACAGTTAATAAGCATATTTTATGGTCGAAAGTAGAATTTTTAATGCACAGAGGAGCATAAAGAAGAGGTATCAGCGAGCGGTCGAAATTTGCAACTGCGGCTTCAAGCCACTGTTAGCTTCGGTTGCAGAAGTCAAAATATTTCGACCACGTGCCATTTTGGCTGTGTTGGACGTTCCTCTCCTCCTCGTGGTTTCCGGTATCGATGGAAGGCGGTTTCTTCTCTCTTCACCAATGAACACGGAGAACTCAGCTGGAGAGGAATAAACAGAGTCAAGGTAATGAAGGAGCATCTCAGCGAAACAACTCTAGGTCTCATAGCAACTTGTGGAAATTCGTCACGATGGACGATTTACGTCCCATGGATCCAAATCTCGGATGTAATTGCATTACCCTGTATGGGATTTGGAGGCGTTGGTAGACACTTGGGAAATATTCGGGGACGGCCATCCAGCTGGAAGTATATTTTATGCCTTGTAAAGAGGCACAAGCAGGAACTTCAACGTCCCGGACTGCCGTTAAATGAACTTATGACCATTGTCAGGTATGGTAGACTCATTTCTCGTGTACGAATTTTACTTGCTTAATTCTACTATCCCCGGACCTCAGGCGTTCTTGGCTATAATTATCTCGACTTCTAGCAGCCTCCTTAACCGAAACATCAGCCTCCATCTTCTCGTTCCTCCCGCCGTATCCTATGTTTTACCGAGGAAATTCACCTGTTTTGAGTTTTTCAAGATGCGGTTGTTTCATTTAAATTTCCACATCCGGGAAACATATAAATATCGTTGCTTTATGCTTTTTCTCCAAGGAAACATACCTCGTAATTGTTCCTCGTGATGCGTCTAGTTCCTGTTCTTCTCGCTTTGACCTCTTTGATCTGGTCGGCCTCGGCCACTCCCCTCCTTGCCAAACGTGCGTCCCGCACGTCTCCCCCTTCTGGTGCCGTCGTTGTTCGTCAGTCCGGAACTCAGAGCGGAGAGTTCAGTACGGTTCAGGCTGCCATCAACTCCTTGGACAGCACCTCGTCAAAGACTATTTTCATCTTCCCTGGTGGGTGCTGAGAGTTGAGGCTCTTCAGAACAATTTCAACTAAAGTCGCTCAATGATCTTATAGGCACGTACAATGAACAGGTCTCTATCACCCGTACAGGTCCTCTCACTATTATGGGCTCTACTACCAACACTGCTGACCAAAAGGCGAACTCTGTGACAATTCAACACTCTTTGAGTGCCGCTGCTGCCGGGAGCGACGATGCAAGTGGGACATTCCGAGTTCATAAGGATAACCTCAAGTTATATAACGTCAACATCAAGAACACGGTGAGCCTGACCATTCATACAGTTTCTTCAGTTATTAACTTTCTTATGATGTGAATGCAGTTTGGTCAAGGTTCTCAAGCTATTGCTCTCAGTGCCTATGGAGAAGACTTGGGATTCTACGCTGTCGGTCTATACGGGTATGTCATATCCTATATTCAGCCTGGGCCCTTATTTTTGTCCCAAAAACAAATTGGATGATAACACGTTATTTGATAAACAGTTATCAAGATACCCTCCTCGCCAACGAGGGTCATCAATTTTATGGTTCTTGCTACATCGAAGGCGCTGTCGATTACATCTTTGGTCAACATGCTCGTATCTTCATTCACAAGAGTACGATCGCATCAGTGGGCGCTGGTGCGATTACCGCCGATGGACCTACTAGCGCGAGTGACAACAGCTTGTGTGAGTTTCTCTCCTCGAAATTGCCTATTCGAACAATGAATTTGTGAACGCTGACTTTGACGAATTTCTAGTTGTTATCGACTCCTCTAGCGTTATCCAATCTTCAGCTGCAACGTCTTCGCTGACCGGGAAGGTCTTTTTGGGCAGACCTTGGCAGCAATGGGCTCGGTACAGTACATCTTTTTTGCCTATTACTACAGATTCTAATCCTGTTATTGCCTCAACAGCGTCGCGTACGTGAATACTAATCTAGCATCTATCATCAACTCCGCTGGATGGGAACAATGGTCTACGGCGACGCCAAACACTCAGAGTGTAGAGTTTGTAGAAGTCAATAGTAGCGGTTAGTAGCAACTTTTTCTTAGAGCTCATCCCTTTTCTTTGATTTTTAACGTTGATCGATATTCGTTCGGTTTTAGGTGCTGGTGCAGCTGGTACTCGTGCTTCTTTTGCCAAGAAGCTCACGTCGACTGCTGGGTTTACGGCTGCAGATGTTCTGGGTAGTTCCTGGACTTCTTGGGTTGATCAGAGTTATGTTTAAAAACATCGGGGGATAAAGGAATGTTGGGTTTTATGTATTTGATAGTGTATGAGCTCTAATTTGCTTATATATACCCTCATTTCATTGTCATTTCGTGCACTTAGCATTGCAAGCAAGGCGCTCAGTAGAAGTTGTCCTTTCGTTTGACGCGGTGCCAACATTCTCATACTTATCAGTCCTGAGGCCTGAGGATCGAATTTGCGACAAAAGCCTCCACACGATCAAATGCTGATCTTTTTTTGCTGGACGAACCGTACTTTTCAAGTTCACAATACACGACACGAACGCACGACGGCAGATGACGCGATAGACGACCCCGGGCCCATACGGTCCTGGAGAATGCGTGCAACAGGATCATGTGCCTTTGAACTCTGGAGCTCCGGTGTCTTGAACATCACGCTATATATATCTAGTCGCACGAACATCTACGAACATGCGGGCCTTCAGCTCCACGACGGAAACTCGACCGTGACGGCCCGGCGCTAGGACCATCGTTCGGAATTAATTATCATTCTGCTCATCTTCGACATCGGGTCCTGACAGTGAAAATCCAATGGATATCATATGCCGTTGCTATGATGATGTCAAACCCATGGACGAAGTTTCTACCTGACCCTTTGGCTTTGATCATCAAGCGAAAAGCTGGGCCTAAGTATAGGAATGTCGCGGCCGGGAACCAAAATGAACTTTTGGGTTCGATTTCCCTCGTTCTGCTCCATGTTTTACCGAAGAACAGGCTCTGGGTATGAAATCACGTATATATAGGTTGATGAAGATGTATCGGTAGAGAAATTGCTCCTCTTGTGTTTTGTTGTCAACCTGTCTCTCTCAACATGCTACTCTTGATACCTTTTCTTGCTCTAGCATCCTTGCTGACATCGGTATCGGCCTCGCCGTTTTTGGCTAAACGTGCGACTGAGCCTCCCACCGGTGCTATCGTCGTTCGTGCGACCGACACACAAAGTGGAGAGTTCAGCACAGTGCAGGCTGCTATCGATTCATTGGACGACACGTCAGATAGTACCATTTTTATCTTCCCTGGTAAGTCGTGAGGTTATATATTTCTTCGATCTATCCTCAGCAATATTGAACCGTCCATCAGGCGAATACAATGAACAAGTGTCTATTACCCGTTCGGGGACTCTTACTATCATGGGATCGACCGAAAATGCTCTTGACCAGACCGCCAACACAGTTACAATTCAACACTCTCTTAGTGCAACTGAAGCAGGGAGTGACGACGCGAGTGGGACGTTCAGGATTCATAAGGATAATCTCAATTTATATAACGTCAATATCAAGAACACGGTGAGTGAAATTTGTACCTTCGATCTTCAGAGCCTAGAGGTGTTTTATCAATCTAATCATTGAATTAGTTCGGTCAAGGCTCACAAGCCATTGCTCTAAGCGCTTATGGAAATAACTTGGGTTTCTATGCTGTTGGTTTGTACTCGTGCGTACGATCACTTGTTTTTGTAAAAAAAAAGAAACAACAGCTTATTGTGCGCAGTTGGCAAGACACTCTCTTGACCAACACTGGGAACCAATTCTATGGCTCGTGTTACATCGAAGGAGCTGTGGATTACATCTTCGGACAAGAGGCTCGCACGTTCATACATAAGAGTACGATAGCTTCTGTCGGAGCAGGAGCAATTACAGCCGATGGTCGTGACAGTGCTGACAACCCTAGTCTATGTGAGTTCATAAAGCTTGTTAGCTCAATGGTGTATTTATTTTTTTGTTCACTACGTTAGTTGTCATCGACTCCTCAACCGTTATACAATCTGAAGCAGCTGCATCCTCACTGGACGGTCAAGTATTTTTGGGTAGACCTTGGAGGTCATGGGCTAGGTGATTTTCTATCTTCCTCCTCTTCTTGTGACTGCAGGCGACTCGGATCTCATATACGAGCTTGTACCCAGCGTTGCTTTTGTCAACACCAACCTAGATTCTTTGATTAATTCTGCAGGGTGGGAAGAATGGTCGGCTTCCATGCCAAACACCGAAGA